CATGTCGCCCTTGTAGGGGTAAAGAAACGGGAGTACCTTTATATAGATAGAAGATAATCGAAACTGATTGATTTGGCAACATTCCAAACGATAACTAACTGAAATTTAATTGATATTCTGTTTGCTTCTCTACGTTGATATGAAAAAGGTCACGGAACTAATAAAATTTAAGTTAATTTTAACTAAGATTTATAGAAATGACTTTGTGGAATAAATATTAATCGTCAATTAAAAATTCTTATATTTTTTTCACTATTTCATTTAAAATATCTTTATCAAAAGTAATTGATTTATAATGTTTTAGTCCTATTTTTAATTTTTAGCGACGGCAACTGTTAAACTAACTTCAAAAAACTTTAGTCATTGCAAATTAAGATATAGTTATTTAATTTCATATAGTATATGTGAGAATTTATTACTCTTTCTCTTTCACTAAATCGTAAATAATTTTTATAATGAATTAATGTTATGTACGTTCACATTGACAAAACATATGTATGTCACTAAAAATCCGTAACAAATATTGTGTAACTTCTTGAAATTAGTTTATTGACCTTGCCTGATAATAAGTTGCATACGAAAAACAATTATCAAAAGATAACCGTGATAACTACTCCGATAATTTTCATTTATCAAAAAAAATAATAAGCAATTCAATAAATCTTATTTAATACAAAAATCCACTTTCGTATCTAAAACAACATTTAGCGCAGCTGTAAAATTAATAAGCATAATTACGTGACTTGTTGATCATTATGTGACTTTTGTATGAGTAAAATAATTACTTTAAAAATTACGGTATATAAAATTAATAATTATTTTCTTAAAATATAAAAAAATTTTGATTAATAAAAGTTTTATTATCCAATCAATCACCCTGCATAGTTTTTTGTTCACGCGCACGCATTTAAGTTTAATATAAAAATATTTCAGTAACATTTTCTTGTTTCTTAAATATCATATTTTGTTTATTACAAACTGCATAATTATAACAATAATAAAAGCATCTAATTCATAGAACTTTTAACTTCGTTAAAATTTATTCTCTCGAAAATATTTAAGAGACATTTCTATAAAAGGCGTCTATACAACAAAATTCCCATCATCACTGTGAAAACCGATGCCACCGCGATGTATCACGACGCCTTCGCGAGCACATCCGCGCGACTCTTTTAAAAGCCTCACAAGCCACTACCACGACGAACAATAGCTAAAATCTGTTAATACTCCGATCGACAACAATGAATTCGACGTGGCGTGAGCACCTCGAATACCTTTTTGCTGGCGCTAATCCGAATTCGGCGAGAGCCGCCGTCGAGTATAAAGCGACCATCGTCCCGGAACAATGTTCCATCAGAGAAGGAGAGAGAGAGAGAGAGAGAGAGAGAGAAGGAAGAGAGAAAGACAGCGAAATGAGAGACGGTCATACGCGTGCGCATGTATGTGCAGTGTAAAAGAAAAAAAGCTCGTACGATAGAGTTTGAGAGTGATTTTCGGCGTGATATACTTCTTGCTCGTCGAATAGTCATCACCGTATGTTACTAAAGAGAGCGAAAGCTGTTATTGCACAGTCACCGGAAACACACATCATCCATACATTCATATTTTCTGCATGATAAATATCATATTCACTATACGACCGACTACAGAGTAGTACATGGTAAAAAAAAAAAAAAAAACACACGCAAATGTACAAATGCAAAAAAATTAGAAAATAATTCATCAAATAGAAATTTGTTTTGTAATAACACGTCGCTACGTATGACAAATGGTCTTGTAAAGTCTTATTTTTCATTTTGTTTCAATATTACAACATTGCATGACAGAGTTTCTCGCGCATTATTATAATATTTAGAACATATTAGAGAGGTTTCTTTAAAAAAAATTAATTGGGCGATATTTATCCGTCACACTCTTTACCAATTACGTGAAGTAACTATGCGAAAGAGTCGCCGACTGTTATTCCTTTACGTTACTTGCGCATTAACGCGATAATGATAATTAGCCCTCTCATCCGCGCACCGACCTTCCAGCCGAGTCTTGCAAATTATGAAACTCCGATATCACGAAGTCTGTCGGACGAGAGTGCGCCAGATAAAATCTCACAAAGACTAACACATTAAGAAGGGAGCGGAGAGGGAGCACGAAAAAGTGTCGCCGCTTCTCAACGACAACGGAACGACGTCCAATTTTAATCTCGGAATTACTTCCATTTTATTTCAATTTTCTTGCATTTAAACCGTCTAAGCGAGTTTACCTTCGCAATATCATTGCCGAGGATCGTCGCGAGTCGTTGGCTGGTCGGGTCGGATAGGAAGAAAGGGCAGAAAACCGAAAGGAACAAGAGAGACGGAGAGAGAAGATAAGAACATCGGCGGAGGCGGGCGGAAAAGGTGGAAGTACCTGCTCTAATAAATTTACGACCTAAAAAGATTAAGCCGCGTTAGCCCTGTTCTTTATATTTCCGCGAGAGGAGCGAGAACGAGCGCGCGCGCTCTTTCACCACTAACAAGCGTGAGTCGCTCCTCGGCGAACGAGACGAAGATGGAGCGTCGCGGTGAGATATAAGATCACTAGAGACGGAGAGAGAGAGCAGGAAAAAGAGACGGTGAAAGCGAAGGGAAAAGGAGGCTGGAACGAGATGGAAAAGGATATATAAGAGATACGAAGGGAAATTCGCTTATTTTCCCATCATTTCGGCGTGGCATCTTGTCCGTAGCCTTTTCTCATCCACGGAGCCAGGAAAGAAAATTGCTTCTCGTCCTCGAGAGCGGAATATCGTCCTGATGAGCCCGGGAATGCTCCGATATCCATCCCTCCTTCTCCCCTGAACCCCAAACCTCCGTGATGCCTCCGACGTTTAACCCCGTCTTCGTTTCACTTCGTTTCCGCATTCTCCTCTGTCTCTCTTGCTCGCTCTCTGCGCTCTCCTTTTCCCTTTCTGATGATTCACCGCTGCTCATTTCCAACAGTAACATTCAATTTGCTAGTCGCTTGTTATCCGAACACAATGATTCTCCTTGTCGATTATTTCGGAAGCGCGAAGAAATTTTTACATCGTCTTTACATAAATAAGAACTATTGCGAAAATTTTTATACGTTTGAAAGTGGAACACGATAGCACTAAATTATAATTGATAATATTCTTAAATAATATACCTATTTCTCGAGGTGATAATTTGTAATAATGATTATCTCATAGTCATTCGTCAGCTACCGTTGTGAAATTCGAACCGATTGCTCAGCGTTATTTATCCGAAACAAGTGTTAAGCCTGTCGAAAAAAAATCAAGATTCATCGATCGTCGATCGATCTTGATCTTGCTCTCGCTCGCCTCGCCGCCGCGTATAAATTCATCACGGTACCCGGTGGGCCTTACACCCGTTGTGTCTCGACGGGAACTGAATAATTCATAAGGCAAGACCGATAGCATCGGCTCTTAACGCAATAGACTTAAGCGAGCTGCCAACAGCAGCCATACTGCAATAAAGAAATCAGCATGGCCGAAACGTCCCGGTGAGCCGCCGGGTGGTGCCCCTCCGTCGTTTCTTTCCTCCTTAGTCTACTGCGGAGGAGCACCACGTCGCCTCGCTCTCTCACTTTCGATTTTGCCCCACAGGCTCGTTACCCTCTTAATGCCGATGGTGGAATGGACTTCTCCGTCTCACCCTTCGATCTTTCGCCGACCGAGTCGCTCTTTTTGCCCTCCCCCCTTTTCTTAGCCAACGCCGCTTTCAGGGGTGGACCTCGGAGACCCGCCCAGAAAGATATTTCTGCAACCCTCCTTTTGGAAGCAGAAATCGAGAAAGACAAGGAGGAGAAAAGAGAGGAAGAGAAAGTAGAAAAGAAAGAGAGAGTGTGAGAAAGAGAGAGAAAGTCTTGGCAGCCACTTTTCTCACCCTCCGCATGATCGCATCCCGCCAAAGAAACTCCATTTTCCACCAAACCCTCGGAATCTCTCCTTTCTTGCTCGCCCTTTTTCTCACTTTTGCTCTGACTCTTACCGTCTTGCGCACTCCGGCTACTTTCTCGCGGTTAGATTTTCGCAGTTGACCGGTCTTATCGTGAGGGGCAAATGTGCCGCCTTTTCGTAGGGCAAAACTCGTCTAACTCGACCGGAACTGCCAATGTCAACTTCGGGAGTGCAACGACGCGGATGTTTGCTTCAAGAAATCTATCGAGTCAATCGCAATTATGTTTTCGGTATCAAAATTGTAAGAAACTTCCGGTAATGATTAAAAATGTGTACATACAATTACAATTAAAACAACAAACATTTTTCTGGTTTATAAAAAGTAAATGAATTTTAAATTAATTAAGTTTAAATCTGGAAAAACCTTTTAAACTATTTTATTAATTTTTTAATTGTATTATTATTTATTTAATTGGACGATTATTGCGTTGTTTTTAGTTAGCTAATAGCATTACGTTGTATAATAAAAATTAATTCTTATAAAAAGGAACGTTCAAAATTGCTGGATTAAAAAAAATGTGCGATTACAATAGCATAAAAGAAAAAAGCTACGATTATAATAGAATAAGAAAATATATATTAATAGCATAACGAAGATCGAACACTTTATCAAAGTCAAAAGCGATATCTCGAGTTTGTTGTGGAGATCAGAGTGCACAGGGTGAGAAGAATGAGAAGAAAGGAGGGTGCCCTTTTCCTCAAGTATACGGTAGTGACACGTTACTATTATCACGTCTCAAGGGCTAATGAGAGTTTGTGCCGCTATTGTTCCCGATTTACGTCGTACGGCTAAACGCCGTAGCGTTCTTAATGAATTTGCGAAATTAAGTTCACTAAATATTAAACATGGCTAATATTATTATTTATCGATTAAAAGCAGAACAGGCAGTACAATTTAACACGTTCGCAGAATATCTTATAAATTAAAAATTGGAGATTACTTGCGATTTATATATAAATAATCGTTTCAGTCTTTTTCAATATTATTCCGATCGAATAATGATTGTTGTTACGAATTATGTTGCAGGTCTGGTTTCAGAATAGACGAGCCAAGTGGCGCAGACAGGAGAAAATGGAGGCTGCGAGATTAGGTTTAAGCGAATATCACCATGCTGCTAATATGAGGTTCGTCTAAATACTCATGTTAACGGAATTGAAATCGCGTATAAATCTTCGTAATGAATGTATAACAGCTACATTGCGAAGATATATATTTCGTTTCAGGAACGTCGCCGGTCCAGCCCTAGGTTTGCCAGGAGATCCTTGGCTAGCGCCGCCAGGATTGCTCAGTGCGCTTCCTGGTTTTCTCGCTGCGCCTCATACGGGATATCCTAGTTATCTAACGTCACCCAGGCGATTGCCATCACCGCCAAATGTAGGCGCTGTGACTAACCCTGTTCCGGGTAACAACCGTTTTTAGTATATATTCCAGTTTTCTAAATTTTAACATTTTAACAAACTAACATCTAACTAAAATGTCTGGATTTACGAATTAATGTGCTCGTCAAATTTAAAACATATATATGCATCTGAGAATTTTAAACCGTAAAATACAATCATAAAGTGAGAATTAGTGTATTTATAAAGAAAATTGATTTAGAAGTTTAAGAATTCAAAATTTCTTGATATCCGAGTATGTATAACATTTTCGCAATATAAAAATATTTTAAGAAACAATCGACACCACGTTTATCGTCATTATTATTACATATTCAATGAAACGTAGATATTGCATTGTTTGCAGGATCGCTTGCCAGCAGTATGGCGAGCATAAGTGCCGGCAGTCACGTACAACCACCGCCACCGAGTCCACCGGGACACGATCCTCGCACCTCAAGCATCCAAGCGCTCAGGATGCGGGCCAAGGAACATGTTGAGAGCATCACCAAAGGCCTACAGATGGTCTGAAGGTTAACGGAAAATTCGTCAAGGGCGCGCATCGCTACCAGCCGCATCGGCCTCACACTCGTGATAGCGTGACAAGGAAGCGGGCAACGCGAGTAAGGAAGCGCGGCTTCGCCCCGATATTCCAAATCCTAATGAATCGCCTAAGCAGCGAGAGCGGTATGTCGACCGATAAGAGCGAGAGAGTACGTTCCGTGATATAGAAAAATCGGCGACGGTGCTGGACGTAACGAAAGTACAAGAAATTTGCAAGAGAAAACGGCGATCGTCCAACCAGGTAATAACTCTGGTTGAAAAGAGAAGAAAGGGCGCGGTACTAGTTCTTGGTACCAATAATTATCAAAGGAATAATCTAATGTTCACTGGTGACATATTAAATGACTAAAAATTACAACAACTGATGATCGTGGAGACAATCAGTGTGATAATTGGCAAGTATCTAATCAATAAATATGTGTTCCTGCTTGAAAATGGTCTAATTACACACTGAAATATTTCCGTGACAAAATTTCAACTAAAAAATATCGAAGAAAGAACACAAGAAACGCATAAAAAGATGCCTAAAAGATTATAAAATTAATTTGCGTTATTTGTAATGTTTTTGACAACAAATAATCAAAATTATTAAATAGCCGGCCGATAGATAAAAGTTCACGCTTTTGGCAAATCATCTTTTGGGCGGATTTCATTCGTGAAGAAAATTTGCTCGAGATTTGCTCTAAGTCGGCATTGTGCAATAGACGAAGAAAATTATGTTGCGCAAATTTGTCGCACAATTGAGGTAAAAATAAAAAAGATAGCTTCTGATTTACTTTTACAACTTATTGCAAATGCTTGCGTGTCGAGTATTATGCTAAATTATTTTTTAAAACGTTTAAAAAATATTGCCATAAAAATATGTAATAGTTTTTCCAGAATAAAAATATTTAGCTCGAGAAAGATCGAAATAAACATTATCATTATAACAGTTTGATTTTAAATTTGTCTAAATAGTTTGTTAATTCATTAATATTTGATTGAGTTTATAAAAGATGCCGGGCATACATTTAAAGATGCAGTGACACAAGTTGGCAGCCGATATATTTCTTATTACTCAATGCTACCCAATAATTAGTAGCATGTGCGCGTAATGAGAACTAGCCAACGATATTCCTCATAAAATAATTCACGGCTATCAAATAAGTGAACAGATGTCAATGAATTAGTACGCGATTTACGTGCGGGATATTTAAATCATCACTCAATACATAAACTATTTAGAGAGATAATAAATAACAGCTCTTAACGGGCTATCTATTTAGATCGCGTGTAAAGTGATAATTTAGATATTCTGCGCGTAAAGATTCGACTTTGTATTAAACATACACGGAATCTCGATCGTCTCTTGCTCCTTCGTTCAAACGCGCTCTGCGTCGCGTTGCTCATTTGTTGCAATAAAAAAATCATAATAAAAATATCGCTTCAGTTTTTGATGAGAAATATCGATCTGTTTAACAAATACGCTTATTGTCGAACATCTTGGATATTAGTGCATAATAAGTATCTTATAATTCGGGCAACGCTATCACCTCGAATTCTGTTAGTTGTGCGCTCTGTTATAAACAACATCCGAGTGAAGCAATAACGGTGTCCTTTAAAAGATTAACCGATCAAATTGAGTAACGCTTCGCGAAGTGTTTCCGATTCGTCCTCGTCGACCGAGTATTTCCTCGCAACTCGAGGCAAATTGCGTTCAACCATCGTAGCAGACTACGCGCGGCCGAAACATTTGGTTAAACATGGAACGTAAATCAGAAGTCGATCGATCCCTTGAAAATCTTATGGATCGGCGATTCTCACGAACCCGATGGCAATCATCGATTGCGTATCGGCGAACTAGCGAAATATCTCTTGTAGAATATAGGATAAAGACACACGAGGAGGCGGAAAAAAAGAATTTTGACATAAACAATATTCTGCAGTATTAATACATTAAGGCAAAGAATTGTGCATATTATCTAGATGCCATCACGGTATGTAAATTCCGGAAAGCGCCGAGGATGATTCGCCACGCGTTTCTGATCATATTTGACAATTGATGTGAAGTTTGAATCGCGATGTGCAAAATCGTAAAGTACTATTTTACATTTTCCAAATACGAAAATATTGAAGTTGTTATGCATTATTGTTACTTTCTCAGACTAATTCGATGATTTCTTTCAGTGATTACAGTATGTCTATTTTTTGAATATGATACAAATTTTTATTCGAATAATAAGTCTTTATATTCAATATATCTTCTATTTTGATGTATTACTATTTACGATTTTGCAGATCATATTTCACGAATATTTATACTCGATCATTCACAAGTGATGGCGATCAGCCTCCGCGATCCGTAAACGATAACTCGTAGAAAACGAAGAAATGTAGTTAGTCACTTCCCGGACGTCTATTTGTATATATACCCGCTCGTGACAAAATAAAATTCGATGTACATATTTAATCGTACCATATCGTTTGAAAACAGGGCCTCCTTTATTGAAATAAAAATACAAGCGATGATAATATCAAAATGAGCAAATTTTACTATCCCCTTATCGTCGACATCTTCCTTTTCCTAAATCCGAGACAAGTTTTTTTCTAAATGCATGTAAAAGTAATAAAACTTGAAATTCAAAGTTTGACATTAAGAAAAGCTGCTAATGATATTAATAAGATATGTTTGCTAATTTTCTCAATTTGTATATTACACAGAATTGCAGAATAAATATTTCCTTCAACGCGTTTTATGTTTCTTATTAAAAGTTTCTAAAAGTCATTAGATCCCAAAAAGATATTATGCTGCTACTGTTATATATTCACTATTATTTATATATATTATATCTACTTATATATAAATAATTTAATTTATTTTGCAGTCGATTCTTAACGATCTAGTGTAACCGATTAACAGGTTGCATTTTTCGCATGTTAGTACCAATCGGTATTTAACGGAGTGAGATGTATACTGTGAAAATTTGAATTCCTACGAAGGAAGTAAAACATATTTGCGAAAGAATTAACATATCAAAGGATGACTTTAATTAAGTCTTAATTCATTTTCGCGAAAAGAGGGAGGCAGCAGGGGATAGCTGCAGTTGGTAGGAAACCATCGTTCAGCTTTCTTCGGATTTAATTAAAACCGAAGATTTGTTAGAACACGAAAAATCCGTCAATGAACGATCAAAAATTAGCGACTGTTAAAATGATAATTCCTCTTATAATCTATAAAATAAAGCAAAAATATATTTAAAAATTCAGCTGCTTCTTTCTTATTTTTTGTAATTAACTAAAATTAATTAAAATCTTTAAAGAGAAATTTTTATGACTAACAAAAAAATAAGATAGCAATATTTTAACTATATTTTAATTCTAACATGTTTTAAAATAGAAAATGTAGAAATAGTAGAAATTGAAAATTAAAAAGCACGGATTTTACTCAAGTGGCATATTTAAAAAATTTTTTTAATTTTAACGATACTTTCCAGCTAAACTTTTTTTCTACTTAATTTTAAACAGATAGAAATATTACCCCTTAATCTTTTAAATTTTCTAACTCATAGTTTTTTCTACTCATCGATCAGGCCCATTGTACAAGAAGCGCAACCAATCAGATGGGTCTTTTACTTCGGTCTGTCCATACATTCCCTGCCTGGGAATTTAACGCAGCGACCGATGGTTCGATGCAAATGCCGTTCGAAAATTCCGTTTGCGCGAGTAAACGTGACAGCGAACGTGTGCAAGCCGATCATCTTTTTCAAGGGTGGCGAAAAAGCAGCGGCGGGGCAGCGTCGGGGCGTGAAAGGATTCGGCGTTAACAGGCACCAACAACGGCAAGTCGATGGAACAATGGTGCTGAATGGTCCCCGGACGATTAGGTATTCCAATCGTTGCGTTAGGGGCTGCTGTGAAGTGCGGCGGGGTGAAGGAGAGAAAAGGCGGGTTTGACGGCAGAGGGGTTGGAGGAAGGGGGCAGCGGAGGGGCCGACGCGGTAAGAGGACGCCAGAACTCACCCAATAAAATGGTAATTTCTGTTTGCGGAAGTTAACCATGCGAGCGAGCTTGGAGATTCGAGTCCATGCGTACTCCCTAACTCCAAAGACTAATAATACTCGAGGCAGAACGCTACCGACAGTGATATAGTTGTATAGTTGGAAGAAGGCGCGAGTAAAATCGTATGAGAGAGAAAGAGAGACGTCTCTCATGCGAACGCGGGAGTTAGTAGAAAGCGCGAGAGTTGCGGGACGTGAGTGGAAAAGTCGGAGAAACTCGGAAAATAGAGATGGATACAGTACGAGAATTCATCCTGTCGGATTAGAGAAAGCGGCATACGAAATATTTTTTTTATGAGTTTGACGAGTCTCGAAATATTAATAACATGAAAATTAAAATGTCAACAAATAAAAAATTTTATACGCATATAAAACTCGTAATGCATATACGCAAATATCAAAAGTTACCATTTATCTCGATCTTTTAAATTGCAATATTATGCACATATTTCATGCAAAAACTAAGTTTTAAATTTTTCTGTTGAAATAGCTTTAAGCTTAATGACAATACTCTTATTTATTTAATATTCTAAAGTTTAATATATAATATAAAATGCACTTTCAAAAAGCCAATCTCATATTCTAACAATAAGAACCCGTTTCTATAAAATATTCTTAATATAAATAAATTGTAAGTATATATGCCTGGGTGAACATAATTATATGTGTTTAAATAATAAACAAGTAATTGTATTCATCCGTTGAGACACAACAATTTGCTTCACTCATTGCAAATTCCGCCTTATTGTTGCTCTACAGCAACTTTGTCGAAAAATCGATAAACCCTAACTTAATTACGCACGTACAGAAAAAAATTAACCATAGACCCTTCATTTTCAAAAATCACAGATTCACATCGTGAGTTTACCACACTACATTACACGAAATACAAATGCGAGATCAAACGTACTTTGTGCCGCAATTATAAGATTTAAATTAAGCACTAGCTACAGGTTATTCAGTACATTAGCAACTACATATAATTATAAAATGCAGTGAGGTAAATGTAGTGTAATGTAGCTATAACACAATATAGTAAGAAAAAATATAATGTACCAATATTTTTCGACTCTCAAATTTTATATTGCATAAGAAAAAAAAGAAATTGTTCAGTGAAAATTTTTCAGAAAAAAAAATATCCAGTAAAATAAATTCCAAAAGCGAATTAATTATATCAAGTGCCGTATAAGCAATTGTGCTAATAACCATATTTGCATTTATGGCAACAATGTACATCCAAACAACTGTACATCCAAAATCATACTTTGACAATTCGCTCTCTTGCAAAAACAATTAAGTAAAACGTGTTGAATAAATTTATTGATAAAATTAGATAAAAAATATATTTATATATTTATTTAAATTATATATTAACAAATGTATTTACAAAATCTTTATCTTTAAAAATTTTAATTTCTAAATTCAGTTTTTATAATTTATGTCTTTATAATATTTTTTATTTTTTATATATATATTTAAAAATTTGTAATTTAAGAGTAATAAACTACATATGATTTGTGCAAAGTTTGAAATTTTTCACTGTTAAAATAAAGAAAAAATATTTTTATATTTTATCATTAATTTCATAAAATACAATAATAATAGACAAAGATATCAATTATTAAATCAAATTATCAAAGTATGATTCTTGTAGCAGTGTATAATAATTATTAACAAATAAAAATGCAACAAATAATATCAGTATTTTGTATATGGAAATATAATAAATGAGAATTCACTCACCAGTCGTTGTACCTTAGCTAAGTAGCCTTTTCAGCTATACCTGGAGAAATTAATATATATTATAATTATTGTAATGTGTGTGTGTGTGTGTGTATCATCCATTTAATATATATTAATATTATTATTTATATTTAATTTCTATTTTAAAACAAATATATATATGTACAATAGGTAAATTGTGTAAATAAGTGTAATTCCAAATTTTAACAAATATATGATTAACGGTTCAATAAATTTTAAATATTTATAAAAATCTTAATAAGTACATTTAATAAATATAAATATAATTGTGTGTGTGTATGTGTATCCCAATTATGTATCAATATACATAATAAACAAATAATTTTACTCACCAGCTAAGATATTGAAGTTTGTTCCATCAGCTGCAGATTTCATCTTAAAATGCTTTGCATCAAACTGTTGATTGTTGTACTCCAAGTAGATTTTCTCAGTATCTGGAATAAATAAAATACATTTTAGTTATTTTAAATTATGTATTATCTAACTGTTTGTATTTTTATTAAAACATGAAGCATTTTTTAGAGGAATATAGGAAAACAACAGGATGGTTTAAGGAATTAAGAAAAAACAAAGAAGAAAAATTAGAAAGGTTATGAAATAAAGATTTGCATAAAAAAAGGAAAAATACTTAGAAAATTATGAAAAAGGAAGAAAAAGAAGTAAATAGGAAATAGGACAGTGATAATGGTTAAAATAAAGTAGTCAATGGAAAGAAAAAGTAAACAAAAAAATAAAAGAAGGTTAGGATATACAAAGCATAAATAAATGTGATAAATTTGTAAAAATGAGAAAAATATATGGATGAAGGAATATTTATATATAACATTAATGTAAAATTCAACAAAAGGAATAAAGGAATAAGTAAAGAAAGATAAATGATTAAGACAATATGTAAATCAAGTCTACTTCCTTGCTATTATTTGCTAAAGTTAATAAATATTGATATTAAAACACAATCATATATGTAATAAATTGTGTAAACAAGAAGTTTTGTAAATATTTAATAAATATGTTAATAAATATTATTAAGAAATATTTTCAGACACTTTAATAAATATTTCATAAATATAAATTTCTTCAATTATTTATATATATGTGTATGTATATATGTTGTCACAATTATATTATTATATTAAATAATGAAGAAATAATTGTATTCACTAGCTAAAATATTATTATTTACTCTCACTTACTGCAAATTTCGCTTTACATTGCTCCTACATCAGTTTCATCAAAGAATTGATGAATATTTCTGAATGTTATTGTCAGTTGCAAATTAGCTACGCTGCAGAACACAAAACATAAATGTGAGATAAAACATTTTTCTCTGACAAATTCATGCATAGAATTGTAGCTGATACTGTAACATACCACAAGAATAAGTAAGACAAGCGTCTCGATTGCTTGGTGGTTGCACGGAAATCGTCAGGTATGAATACACAATTATATCTGCCCACTTTAATTCCGGCTAGCTCAATTTTCGACATATTACTAATCTAATGAAAGCTAAACCACGTGTCTATGTAATAACACATATTATTTCTGCCTTATCAAAATTTGTAATTAGGACTGCATTGGTACGAATCAACGCTACAGCGATACTGGCGATCGACACTGGCGAAACGCCACTGTTTATAAATATGCGCGGTAAATAATATATATATTCTAATCGCCCGTTACTTTCATCGACACTCCCGGCAAAAATACACACTCATTACGCACTTACGGATACGGATTGATAAGGATACGGATAAAATACGCAAGTCATCACGAAAAGGTGACATTTTACGTTACAGGCTGCGTAATAAAATGGCGGAAATGGCGGTAATAAAAATTCTCATGATGACCAGAGGATGGCGCGCGTGGTGTCGAATAGACTGAAGTTGATCGATGTTGATCATCAAAATGTTGTTTATCCGCGCTATCTTTTGGCCACCGTGAAAACTTCGTTTGCCGCCATTTTAGCTCATAACGCAAAAGGAGAACGCTCCGCAATAAATTAGATTTTGTCCGTATTATTCAGTATCAATCCGCATCCGTAAGTATATAACGAGTACACATTTTTATCAGAAGTGTCGATGAAAGTGACGGACGATTGCCGGATTGTATTATTTATCGCGACATTCACAATTAACGAGATGTTTGATTGTAATCGCCATACCGTAGATATGTACCAGATAGTCATAAATACTTGTAGATTTCACAGACACGGTGTGTGTTATTAGACGCACGATATAGTTCCTATTAAATTAGTAGCATGTTAAAAACTCAGAATTAAGTCGCATAAACATGTTGTGCACTTATCCACACCTGACGCTTTCCGCCCAACCGTCCACACAATCGTTTAGTCTCACTTGCTCCTATAAGTCTGTATACACACTTGCATTCACAGGAGCAAGTGAAACAAACGATTGCATTAACGGTCGTGCAGAGATCGCCAAGTATGGATGCTAATATCCACTAATATGCTATATCAACTACAATTCTGCATGAATATACTACAGCAAAGTGTGTTTTATTTCGCGTTTCGTGTTTCGTGGCGTAATCTATTCGCGATGTGAATCCATAAAAAGAAGTGCGCGTAACTGACAATAAATTTTGAAAGTGTTTCTCAGTTCTTCTATGGAACTGATATAGAGAAGTTTAAAGTAAAATCTGCAAATTGCAATTTAGGTGAGTATAATTATTTATCATTTAAATATGTATAAAATTATGATAACATATACATATACAATTACAAAATTTATATTTCTTAAATATTAAATGAAAATGTTTAAAAATATCTTTTAAAATATTTATTAACATGTATACTTATTGAACATTTGTTAAAATATTTTGTTCACGCAATTCATTGCATATAATAATGTGTATTTTCAGCAAAATAAAATGTATTTTGATTTCTTTAGGTACAGTTGAAAGAACATACATATTATTAATTAAGCTACAACAATCGACGAGCTCATGCATCACATTCTGAAGTGGAACCTGCGGCGGGCAGCTAAAGCAAATTGCAATACCCTAGCAGGTGAATAAAATTATCTATCTATTATTTAAATATGTATATAATTATAATAATACATAAATACATAAATTTTGGAAGTAATTATTTGCAGTTTAATATATATAATTATATTTTATTTAAAATACACAAATAATTAAATGATATACAACAATAAATATATATGAAAGGTGTGGTATAATTTATAATAACTAAAATATATATGTATTAATTTTTCCAGGTACAGCTAAGAAAGTGTATTCTCTAGGGTACAACGTCCGGTGAGTAAATTCATACATTATACTTACATAATTACACAAACCACTGACATTATTTATTTTTCATCGTCGATATTTACTATATAATTGCTAAAAACCATACTTGGATAATTACATTTTGCCTACATTTGTAATGTAAGCATAATAAAATTCAACAGCTTAAATATATCGATACATAATACCTTCTCTTGCAAATATTGCTTTATTTATAATTCAATTATATTTACAAAGGACATTTTATCTTTCTTTTATGTTTTGTGCATTGTAGCGAATTTATAAAAATCCGTGATTGTCGAAAATGAAAACTGTACGAGTCAACTTTCGTTCGATAATGCGCTTGACTAATTGCATTCTTGCACTTGCATTCTTTTTGAACTGTCTTTTTCAATTTGGACTGTCTGAACTAACCAGCGTTTATGAATATTATTTATTTATGTCCGGTTCCACCAACGTAGATTAACTTTAATCTTGATTCAACTTGCTCTTTACCTTTTTCTAATTCTTAGAACTATAATTCTTAGAACTAGAAAAAGATGAAAAGTAAGTTGAACCGAGATTAAAGTTAATCTACATTGGTGGAAATGGGCATTAATTTATGATTGCTAACTCTCGTAGTATATTTGATACAGTTGGCCGATTGTTAGTGTCGTGTATATCAAATTAGGGACTAAGGCGTACTTGACTCTCGAAGACGGCAGGCAATCTCTTGCTGAGCTTGAAATTGGCACGGAAATCGTGGCTTTATTAAATTTGTTTAGGAACAGGTGGGGAATGGTGGGCGGGCCTTGATTTCGGGCGAACCGTCGTCTATCTAATATCTTCCGATGCCCTCCCTGCCTAACCTTATTGCCCCGACAAAGTAAAGAACCAGCAAAGAGAGCTGAATAAGACCAGTTTTCGGGCCGATAGGACGTAGATCAATGGAACAGTAAGCCAACCGACTGGATCTGCAAATAACGATAAAAGAAGCTCGTGAATACTGGCGGAAAAATACAGAGAATCGAGTTACGAGATTGGCAGTTTGGTGATAAAATGTAGTAAACGTGTACTTAATATTACTTTATATTCCTTCCGTTTATATTGAGTATTCCGTTTATTGACAATCATTCAAATAACATTACTAAAAATATCTTTATATAGCAACGAGTTTTAGAATATCGAGGCATTAATGAGCTCGCAATTAATAAATAAAAACGATGAACTTTATGCAAAATTCAGAAAAACAAATAGATAATTAAATTAACTTATTTTCTGAATATATTCAATTTCAAGTTAACTTTAACAAGAATTTAATTTGAGGTTTAGTCATAAAAATATGTGATATTGAAAATTAGATGATTGCATTGAGATATGAACAGTTTTTCTAACATTTTTGAGAATAAAATATCAATTGCAAATTTTTCAATAAAATGTCATTAAAAGTAACACGGTAAAAATATATAAGATTCCTTGTTTATTAAAATAAATTTCACGTGTTTATATTTAGAGATATGTAATATGTGATGCACCAAATAGTCAATCTTTACAAAACTCATATTATTATACAAAAATAAAAGCAGAGAAATTTAGCGATGAATTAATCAATTAGTAAAATAATATTTTTCTACAAATCTCTCTAGCTTCTCTTTTTATCAAATAACTTCTTCATTGATATCGCTCTTTGTCCGATCTATTTGATCATTAACATATTATCTACGTGCTACTCCAAACATGATCGCACGATACGCTTTATTAGCTGCACGTTATAATTACGATAACAGCCTGATATAAAACGCTTATTTTCCCAAAGTACCATACGCATACACAGAACAAAGTAATAATTGTCGTGTAATTAACATATTATGCGCATATTGCAACGTATATGACTTCATTTTGCAAACTTCATTCGTTCAATTAAAATTGATTCGATGTAAAAGCACGCTGTATTATCACAGCAAGAACTGAAGAATTATCAGATTTAATGTGACAATGATCTTACTTTAATCCATGTAATAAATTATTAAAGAAAATGTTCTTGCAATTTTTAAATTTAAAAATCAATTTAAATATTTTATATAATGTGTTGTTTAAAAATACAGCAATTATTCCGTAATAGCATAAATTGTGAAAGATTAATTATTCGATGTTGCTTTTCGGATATATTATCAATACCTAGTTAATATATTGTGAATAAAGTAAAAATACAAAAATTAGTTAAGGCAACAGTTTAACTGCTCTAGCAAAATATTATAAACATTATGCTTTTTTAAAAGTTTATATTGGATATAACTGTAATACTCGAGATATTATAACATCTAATAATTTTTAATTTGAATTAAATAAATTTTTAATTTTAATTAAAAAAAAATTAAAACAATTTTAATACAAACAATTAGACATTTTTCAGACATTACTTTTATTGATAGATTAAAAACAACGTTAAAGTTCTATTATAAATTTTCTCTCGAAATAGAGATCTTGTAAAACAAACTTGAAAGTATAAAAAAGAAACAAAAAAATAAAAATCGAGTTAAACACACAATTAGCGCGATAAGATCCAAGATCACAAGTCAATAATTACGTTTAATCGCCACGTTATCACAGTACATGTCCGAACAAGACGCGAAATCCCGCAAATTGCACACCGCGAGGAGCATTTTGTTTGCATCCAGCTACATAAACACAAACACACATGTGCGCAACGCGAAGTACCTAATAGGTATACTCGCCGCAGCATCGTGTAGTCACGTTCCCAAAGAGCGACGCCGACGTCTGCCCCTAGTTGCTCCGACTCTGACTGTTTAGCATTATTAATTAGAACCAAAGTCGCACTAAGTTGGCGAGTACATAAACAGAAATAATATTTGCGCGGAGCGTTCATTAGACGGGCGGCGAAGATACGAGATGGCGGCATAAACGAGCCGGATTCTCATTAAAATAATCGTGCCTTTCCTTTTCGCTCCGCGGAGACACCGTAGAAAAAAGGAAGATAAGGAAAGAGCAGCGGGCGGACCGAATGAGGGGGGAGGGGGGACCGCGAAGGGCAGCCGGAGGGGATCCGAAGAGGAATAAAGTGACCGACGCAGAGGCTGCGGAAGGTTGGTGATTCCCTTCTCTTTTCCATCTCTTGTCCCCCGCCCCTCGCACTCATTTTACCCGTTAACGACGGATGGTAGGACTTGTGCCCGCAAGGGGGGAGGCCTGTGTTGGACGGACTGAGGGGCGAAGGGCGAGAGGGAAGGTGGAGGAGTCGCAGGGACCGAGTTACTGGGTAGTTTAGCTACCACTAGGTAACTTAAATGAAAGTCGCGGTTACCCCTTAACGCGAAAATACGTTGAGGGAAAATTTCGTTTTTTCACTCTGATTAATGTAATACCCGACGTCGCGCTCCCGGGTACGCTAATTGGTCATTCTCGGCCGCCGTCGCCGCCGCCGTCGCTGCCGCCGGCTTTGAGAGAATCGCGATGTTCTCGTGAGCGCGACGCGTGCGAAGCGAACAATGTGCTTTCTAGTCTCCCGCGTAATCTTCTCTTATATGTCTCTTGTATGTGTACATGCCAGATGAGCAGAATCGAATTATCTCGGAAGCGGAGAAGGGAATTATTTAGCTTGTCCAGATGTTCGAAAGTGTTGATATTTAACAAAATTTTACCGAGCTCGCGCGATTCAGTGAAATTTTAATGCTCCGTGCGACCGGGTTTTTCACATGTGTAGAATCGATGCAAAGATAAATATAGAATTATCGGAGACCAATTGTTTTTACCTAAGACCAAATTGTCATTAAGAATAAAATACGTTGAAATAATCATTGAATCAGAGCAGATTGTATTATCTGAATATTGATAAAAACATTAGACGATTAGATCAAAAGAATTGATTTATTTGGAAGCGATAGGGATTAATAAAATTAAAAGACCTATTTTGAGAATTATTTAAACGTTTCATGCAATCAGTTTTATTTATTGTGACAAATTGAATTTACGAAGACACAGCTGACACATTAGACATAAATAGGTCGCATATTTATCAATTATTTTCTTTTTTTTTTTTTTGAGAAATCAAAATTCAATTTTTTAATAATTTCTCTATAAATATCAAGAAATTTTAAAACAAAATCTTCTTTTGTAATTTTAGTTTATCAAATGTTCGAAAGTAGCAGAACAGAAATGTTCTAAAATACGCCCCCGATAACGTTGAACATTAATCAAAGATTCTCGCGGCGATAAGCGTGTTTGCGATCACGAGAAAAAAATCGGCAATGAGAGACTATCGATATCGTAGAGCAACTTTCGATCTGGGTATCAAACGAATGGCGACCGATCAAGGGAGGTAGGCGGCAAAGGGGGTGATTCGGGGGCGGAGGAGTTCCGAAATGAGTACCCGTGCAAATACGCCAGGATTGTTTCTGTCGCTAATTGCTCGGTTTTTTGCAGGGGCTCGGCCAACAATCGATTTGCATTTCAAAGGTAGTCCGGCATAAAAATAAAATGCGCCCCGTTAAAAGTTGACTGGCGGCGTCGTCGTTGTGTGGGTGGGCTGCGTGTGTCGGCGTGGACGCGTACACGCGCTTATATCTATAATATGCACACATCTGCATACACGCACGCACATACACACGTCTCGCCTCTCGCGCCTGTGAACGACAAATTGCATAAAACTCGTGCCGGATTAATGCCGTCGACGGGGTACAACGTCGATCGCGCTTTTTTCCGCCTGGCTATGCAGGAAACGCTGATTATTATTCGCGAATATAATGCTTTTATATTTCGCAGGATGCCGGAATTGCTCGCTCACTCGTGCGCGCGCGCGCTCTCGATTACGGAGCCGCGTCGAACGTTATCGTCCGCGTCGAGCTTTGATAAACGGCGATAGATAGATCGATGATTTTCGCGCGACGCACTTATTTTTACTTGCATTTTTTTTTAAATGCAGGTTTTGGTTTATTCTCATGACTTTATCTCGACATTCTTCCTACTTCTTGATCTTTAATATAAAACGTAAAATGACAGTAAATGTCATGAAT